AGAAAGAAAGAAAGAAAGAAAGAAAGAAAGAAAGAAAGAAAGAAAGAAAGAAAAGAACAAAAAAACAAAGAGGAAGGAAGGAAGGATCTAAACAACAGCACAGCAACAAGATCTTGTTCAGGTATCTCAGTTTACAAAGCTTAAGAACCCACAGGGATCTCTAATTTCACCCTTCAGCTACTGGAGCTTAAATGACACTCAGACCAAACCAAACTGGATGAACTGGATGAACCTTCTGTAATACCAGACAAAAAGTTCCTGGCTCCATCGGATTTATTCCTTAAATTGTTTCCAACCAGATCTCTGGGATCATTCTTATTTAAATATATAAGTTTCCCTACCAAAAAGCCTTCAGAGGCGTTTGAAGACATCTTAATTTGTATTATATTCCTGGAAGGAGGGACCTTTACCAGCAAACCTAGAGAACAACTGGCGAGTTCTAGTCCCGCCTTAGGCGGGGAAACCAGCTGGGTGACTTTGGGCCAATCACCAGGAGACGGTGAGTTCTAGTCCCATATTAGGCACACGAAAACCGGCTGGGGGAATTTGGGCCAATCACCAGGTGTAGGTGAGTTCTAGTCCCACATTAGGCACACAAATGCCGGCTGGGGGACTTTGGGCCAATCACCAGGAGACGGTGAGTTCTAGTCCCTCCCTAGCCTTGAAAGTTGGCTGGGTGATCTTGGTCCGATCACCAGGAGACGGTGAGTTCTAGTCCTGCTTTAGATATGAATTGCTTGGCAATTTTGGGCCAGTTACTCTGTCTCAGCCCAGCCCACCTCACGGGGCTGTCCTGGTGAGGAAAACAGAAGGCCGAAGGAATATTATTTCTGTTTGCCGTCTCGAGCTGTTTATTAAAACCATAATCCAGGCGGGATATCAATAAATAAGCAAAAATAAAATAGAGTTTCGGAGGATGGACACTCCCAAGGTTTAGCAACTCCACACAACGGCAACACACACAATCTGTTTACTGAAATGATACTAAGATGATACTAAGCTGGCAGGAATAGCCAACACCCTAGAAGACAGGCTCAAGATCCAGATGGATCTTGACAGACTAGAACACCGGGCCATATCTAACAAAATGAAATTCAATGTAGAGAAAAGTAAAGTTCTACACTTGGGCAAGAAAAAACAAAAGGACACATATAGACTGGGTGAAACCAGGCTCAACAGCAGTAACTGTGACAGGGATCTTGGAGTCTTAGTGGACAACCAGATAAATAGGAGCCAGCCGTGTGCAGCAGCAGCCAAAAAAGCCAATGCAATCCTAACTTGTATTAACAGAGGGATACAATCGAGATCAAGGGAGGTACTAATACCACTCTCTCAAGCCTTAGTAAGACCACACCTAGAATACTGCATCCAGTTTTGGTCACCACACTATAATAAAGAGGTTGAGACTCTAGAAAAAAGTGCAGAGAAGAGCAACCAAGATGATGAGGGGACTGGAGACTAAAACATAGGAAGAACGGTTGCAGGAACTGGGCCTGGCTAGTCTAGGGAAGAGAAGGACCAGGGGAGACAGGATAGCAATGCTCCAATAT